GAGCTGGAGCCTGACGGGTGCGCGGCTCCGGGTCGCGCAGAAGGTCGGTCCCCTTGCAGCTGTGACTGGGAAGTGGACAGACGCTGCTCTTCCTGCCGTTGCACAAGGTCCCCATCTTGCATGTCACTGAAGGGTGAGGCCAGGCCCCCCTTTCCTGGGGCCGCAGGCCGACGTCTAGCCCAGCCCTGTCCCCAGCTTGTTGGAGAAGTCGCTGCCTCTTCCATCCTCCTCCTCCACCTCTGTGAGAGTATCGATTGCAGCTGTTTGTGGAGTGCTCGCCTACAGCCTGGTGCTGTGCCGGGTGCTCTCTGTGTCAGGCCTGTTTTGCAGAGGAAGGAGCAGAGGCTCAGAGAGGTTTGCACCTGTCCGAGAGCCACAGAAGCGCAGATACGGGCCCCCAGGCGTTTGTGCGTCCAAAGCGGGCCTGCAGGTGTCCCAGAGCCCCAGCTCCTAGAGGGTGGGCGTTAGAGGGGGGTGGCCGCCTCCTCCCCGTTCTGTATTCCCAGGAAGCCACGTGGGTTTGTCCCGACCCAGGCGCTCACTGGTAGGGAGGCAGGAAGGGGACTTCTGGGTTGTCAGTCACCTGGCGGCCTTGCAGGGCTGGCATCCGGGGACCCCCGCCAGCGGAGTCTGCCTCTGCCTCCTCCCCGTTTAGTGTAGGTTTTCAAAAGCAGGATCCTCTCAGACATCCCAGGATCCTGCCCCTTCAGAACTGAGGATTACACCCTACCGAGCCTTCCTTTCCATTCCGTTTTCTAGGACAAGTATACGTGTGTCTTCACCTATGCTTCTCAAGGAGGGACCAACGAGGTGAGTTGTACAAAATGCCATGTTGTCATACGGAGATGCTCTCCCGGGACAATGGGGTTGTCACGGGTGGTTAACTTACACTCATGGAATTCTTCTTAACCAGTAAACGCGAGAGTGCTCACGTTAAATAGTGGCGGCAGTTCCACTCATAATTCCACAGAGTGAACGGATGTCGGGACAGCAGGAGGGACGTGAGATGTGAATCTGCCATTCCCAAGAGGCTCTATTAGAGGTGTTGCAGTTGTTTGGGACTTCTGGGTTGTCAGTCACCTGGCGGCCTTGCAGGGCTGGCTTCCGGGGACCCCCGCCAGCGGAGTCTGCCTCTGCCTCCTCCCCCTTTAGTGTAGGTTTTCAAAAGCAGGATCTTCTCAGACATCCCCTTCAGAACTGAGGATTACACCCTACCAAGCCTTCCTTTCCATTCCGTTTTCTAGGACAAGTATACGTGTGTCTTCACCTACGCTTCTCAAGGAGGGACCAACGAGGTGAGTTGTACAAAATGCCATGTTGTCATACGGAGATGCTCTCCCGGGACAATGGGGTTGTCACGGGTGGTTAACTTACACTCATGGAATTCTTCTTAACCAGTAAACGCGAGAGTGCTCACGTTAAATAGTGGCGGCAGTTCCACTCATAATTCCACAGAGTGAACGGATGTCGGGACAGCAGGAGGGACATGAGATGTGAATCTGCCATTCCCAAGAGGCTCTGTTAGAGGTGTTGCAGTTGTTTTCTGTGCTGACTAACAAATCACCATGAACTTAGCAGCTTAAAACAACATCCATTTATCATCCCTCCGTTCTGGAGGTCAGAAGTCCTGGTGGTCAGGGGGGTGCTTCGTAAGCTAAAATCAAGGCGTCAGGCAGCCTGGGCTTCCATCTTCCAGGCTCGATTTGTTATCAGAATTCAGTTCCTTACAATGTAGGGATGAGGCCCCCTTTCCTTGCTGGCCATTTTCTCCACCTGATGGCAAAAGAGGAAGTGAAATAGATTCTAAGCACCAGCGGTCGCCAACCTTTCAGACCTCAGGGACCACCAGTGGTCTGTGGACCAGGACCACCAGTTGACGACTGCTGCTTTAGACGGTGAGAGCGGCCTCTGCTGGCAGCAAGGACACAAGGGCTTCAGTCCTACAATCACAAAGAACTGATTCTGCCACCACCAGTAGAGTTGGAAGAAGGCCCCAAACTCCAATGGGAATACGGTCTGGCCTGGCCTTCACTTTCATTTTGCTTGTGAGAGAGCAAAGGAGCAGCCCCACCATACCCAGGCTTCCTTACCCCCATGTACCTCATCCCCCCCTTTGATAACCATCAGCTGGTTCTCTTTGTCTCTGGGTCTGTTTCTGTTTTGTTTTTTTAGATTGCACATATAAGTGAAACCATGTGGAGTTTGTCTTTCTCTTTCTGACTTATTACACAATTACACTCTGGGTCAGGGGTGGGCAAACTTTTTGACTCGAGGGCCACAATGGGTTCTTAAACTGGACCGGAGGGCCGGAACAACATTCCTTTTAGTGCTGAATAATATTCCATAGTGTATACATACCACATCCTCGTGAGGCAGCCTTGTGTGAGTACGCAGCCGCACATTGCTAGTTCTGCACCTTCTCTGGGTGGGGCACCCCCACGTACACAGCACTGCCCCACTCACTCCACATGAGTCCTATGTGGGTACCTCAACATTTTGCTAACTCCGAATCTTCATTGGGTGGGGAGGCCCCTGTGAGCACACAGTAGCACTTCACTACCTCTGTACTTTCTCTGGCCAGGGGAGCCCTATAGGCCGGTACTGCAATATTTGCTAGCTTTGCACTTTCACCAGGGGAGGGGGCTCCAGGTGCACACACAGCCCCCAGTGGGACACCCTGTCATACCTGCTGGGTCAACCTCAGGTGGAGGGGCCCCTTGTATGCATGCTATGGCACCCTCTGCTAGCTTTGCACTTTCACCGGGGGAGGGGGCTCCAGGTGCACACACAGCCAGTGGGACACCCTGTCATTCCTGCTGGGTCAATCTCGGGTGGAGGGGCCCCTTGTATGCATGCTATGGCACCCTCCTCTTCCTGCTGGGTCTAGCTGGAACTGTCTGAGGACCTGCTACAGCACCCTACAGTTTGGCCAGAGAACCTGGATGGAGAGGGAAAACATAAATAATGGCGCTCACTGGTTCCTCTGGTCTGGGCTTCTCAGCTCGCAGAGAGCTTTCTCAGCCTTCTCTGTGAGGTTTCTGTGTCTTGGTTGTGCAGAAGCTGTATAATTGGCTCACAGCTGTCTCTCAGGAGGAAGTGTGCTAAGTATTTCATGAGCTCTAGGAGGGGATGAGCTCTTTGTCCACCTACACCGCCATCTTGGACCTGCTTTTTGAATTACACACTTTAAAAGGGTGAATTGTACAGTATGTGTAAACTAGTAATTTGTTCCTACATGGGTGCTCCAGGCAAAAGGCATCTAAGTGACCATTTACTCCCATTTAATTAACATAAAAATGGCCTTGTTCCCATTAATGAAAAAGCTTTGATGTTAAATGGAGAGTACCAGTGATCTGAGTCCATTATTACTCTTGGGAGGGACTGTAAACTCATTTACTAACAAACTGTGAAAGTGCCTTAGGCAGCCTGGAACATAAGAGTGGGTTTTCCATTTCCTTTTGGCCAGATTTCCAGAGGCCATAAAAATTAGAATACACAGGTAGTGGGGTGTTTTGGAACCAGTTTAAATTTTTAATTTTTTTAAATATATACTTTTACTGATTTCAGAGAGGAAGGGAGAGGAAAAGAGAGAGATAGAAACATCAATGATAAGAGAGAATCATTGATCGGCTGCCTCTTGCACACCCCACACTGGGGATTGAGCCTGCAACCCAGGCATGTGCCCTGACTGGGAATCAAACCGTGACCTCCTGGTTCATAGATTGATGCTCAACCACTGAGCCACTCCGGCTGGGCTAAAATTTTAATTTTTAAATGGCTAATACATTCACATCATCCAAAAAGAAAACATATAAAAGATTGACAGTGTCTTCTACTAGTCTAGTTCCTGCCCACATCCTACAGGTATCCACAATTATTAAAATCTTGTGTCTTTTCTGAGAACTTTATGCCTCTGCAAGCAGGCATGAATGTATTATCTTTCCTTTTTTTCTTTTTTTTTTTTTCTTAATAGACATTATTTTTTAGGGCAGGTTTAGGTTCACAGCAAAATTGAGCAGAAGGCATAGAGATTTTGATGTATCTTCTTGCCCCTCCCCACATGCACAGGCTCCCCTATTGTCAGCATCCCCCACCAGCGTAGTGAACCTACATTGACACATCGTTGTCACCCCAAGTTCATAGTTGACGTTAGGGCTTACTCTTGCTGTGCATTTTGTGGGTGTGATCAGATGTATGATGACGTGTATCCCTATTGCAGTATCATGTAGAGCAGTTTCACTGCCCCTGAGCAGAGTGTGGGGGCACCTGGAAGCCAAGCTCCAGCGGGAGGTCCAGGAAAGGTTCACTCACTTTGCAGAACTGGAAGCAGACGGGCAGCTCTCAGAGCTAGCCTGCGCTCGCCAGGCTGTGTGTTCCGGACTGACCCATGTCTTTCTCCTCTCCCCAGAAGTGGCAGATGAGCCTGGGGACCAGCGAAGACCACCAGCACTTCACCTGCACCATCTGGAGGTGAGCTGTGGGTCTCAGTGGTGAGTGGACTGCTGCTCTGGGCAGCCGGGAAAGAGAGGGGCAGACACTCCAATAGGGTCCTGCACCCCTAGAGTGGCACACGGAATGCCACAGAGGGAGGACTTCTTTATGCTTCTGCCAGCAGGCATGAATGTACTGTCTTACCTTCTTTTTTGTTTTTATTTTTCTTAATAGACATATTTTTTAGAGCAGTTTTAGGTTCATGGCAAAATTGAGCAGAAAGCAGAGAGATTTTGATGTATCTTCTTGCCCCTCCCCACATGCACAGGCTCCCCGTTGTCAGCATCCCCCACCAGAGTGGGACATGTGTTGGCAGGGACCGGAGAGCTCCCCAGGGAAGCGCACTGACACTGAGGCCAAGAGGAGGTGTGGGGATTGAGGAACTGCAGTCCAGGCAGTAGCCACAGCACCAGAGAGAGGGGTCAGGCTCCCCAGATGCTCACCTGCCACTGTCACCCTCCATCATACTCATGGTCATGGGCTCCGCCTCCCTGCCAGGGACTGATGTCTTGTTCACCCTTCTTGTTACCCCACTGCTGGAGCCCCCTTGAGGGAGTGGTAAGCCGGGGAAGGGATGGAGGAAAGGGAGTGCATGGCCCTGTGTGGGGAGGAGGGTGATGGGACTTCATGGAATCCTGTCCCTTCTGCCCTGGGCTCTTCTGCCTCGTATGTGTCACCTTAAGCAGAGCCAAGTTCTCGAGCATTTGTTGTGTGCCCGACAGAAAGTCCAAGCTGTGGCTTCACCCTCAGTAGACCGGGGTCCACACAGGGGACAGATCAACAAATTGGACATAGTGGGAGAGCAGGGACTCGCCATTAATGAAAGGAAGTGGCGCATTTTTTTCTTTATTGAATTTATTGGGGTGACATTGGTTAATAAAACTGTATAAGTTTGAGGTATACAATAAGGACACGACACTTTTTTTAATGAATTTTTAAATGTTTTTATTGATTTTTAGAGAGGAAAGGAGAGGGTCAGATAGAAACATTGATGTATCATCAGTCAGCTACTTCCTGTATGCCCCCTAATGGGGATCAAGCCTGCAACCCGGGCATGTGCCCTGACCAGGAATGGAACCAGGGACCTCTTGGCATATGGGTCAATGCTCAACCACTGAGAACACTGGCCAGGCTTAATGCATTTTTTAAATCCTCACCTGATGATATGTTCTTTAATTTTTAGAGGGGGGAGAGAGAGAGGAACATTGATTATTTGCCTCTCATACGTGCCCTGATCAGGGATTGAATCTACAACCTTTTTTTGGTGTACAGGATGATGCTCTAACCAACTGAGCCATCCAGCCAGGGCGACACAGCACGTTTTAATCACACTTGCAGGTGTCATCCCACAGTCTCAGTGCTAAGCAAGCAGCAGGTACTTACTAAGTGCTATTGGGAAGATTCTTGCCTTTCTGCTGCACGGCCCCAGGGGCCAGACGCCCAGCATCCTCACAGTCATACCCTGCCTGTGCCACATCTCCTGGCCTCAGAGAGAAGTATCACAAGGAAGGAGCCAGGGACCCCCTCATTACAGGGAAGGCTTGTTACAGGGTGCATTCTACCATGTGCACATCCCTGCCTCTCACAGGGTATGTGAGCTACCAGCCCTCGGGGGGCACAGACCCAGGCCCTGCAGGCCCAAGGACTCACTGAGCCTGACACCTGCTCACCGTGGGGCCACCTGCTCAGCCTTCAGATTTAGACATGGACTGACCCTCCATCCATGCAGAAGTTTTGAGAATCTGGGAGACTCTGGATGCCACCTCTTTACCCCTACCACCTCCCCTCACACCCCCGTCCCTAACACCTTCTCCCTGGCCTCCCTGCTGCCTTCTCTGTTCCCCACCCCATTACGTCTGCTTTTCACACAGTGGCCAGTTGGAGCTCTTCACACTGCAGACATCATCACCCCCTTGTTGGCACCTGTCCTCCTCTCTTTTCTTGTGTTAATCCTCACCCAGTATTTTTCTATTGATTTTTAGAGAGAGGGGGAGAGACAGAGAGAGAAACATCGATGTCAGAGATCACATCGATCAGTTGCCTCCCACACATGCCCTGACCAGGGCCAGGGATCGGGCCTGCAACTGAGGTATGTGCCCTTGACCGGAATCGAACCCAGAACCCTTCAGTCCGCGGGCTGACACACTATCCACTGAGCAAAACCGGCTAGGGCACCAGTCCTCCTCCCTTGGCTCCTCTCTCTGCTCTGGCCATGCTGACCTCATGTTTATTAAATGCCCCACTTGCACCCTCTGAGGGCCCTTTGCAGCAACCATTTCCTCTGCCTGGGCCAGCCCTCGCCCCTGCTTCCTAGTTCACTCCTATATTTCTCACCCTCCAGGATGTTGCTGTGGCCCCCATGCAATACCTGGATATTGTTGGCACTCGATAAAAAGCATTTGGTGAAAGAGCATGAGGGTCCCTGCCCTAGAACAGCTTGCCTTCAGAGGGGAAAGAGGCTTGTCAGTAAACCAGCCAGAAGAATGTTCTGGAAAAGGAAAGGAAATGATGTTGAGGGGCCCCGTCCAGACTTCCCAGTCAGCAGTGCTTGGAAACACGCGACCCTGGGCTGATCCCTCGCCCGACCTTTCTCTGCAGGCCCCAGGGCAAGTCCTACCTGTACTTCACACAGTTCAAGGCAGAGGTGCGGGGTGCGGAGATCGAGTACGGCATGGCCTACGTGAGTATCGCTGTGCCCTTGGGGTGGGTGCCTGAGGTGTCCTCTGGGAGACAGGCAAGATGAGGTGACATAACTTGGAAGAACGTGGGACACTGCCGACCCCAGGTTTGGAGGCGCAGGGAAAGAGGCGGTGGTGGTGCCCAACGGGGGACCTGCTGACCTCCAGAGACAACAGGCAGGTGGAACAGGAAGTGGACACCCCGGCGTCACCCTCCTACTGCCTGCCAGTCTCCTGCTGGGGCCCCCATTGGAAAGGCCAGCAGGAAGCTAGAGGGCAGGGTTGCCTGGAAGCTCAGCTCTGGGACACGAAGAGGGACTGCAAGGGTGGCAGTGGCCCTGAGGCAGGCGTGTGGCTCACGGTGTGTGTGTGGGTGTCGCATCCTTGGCCCCAGAGACCTGTGGTTCACGGCCTGGGCAGAGCCTTCTGCGCACGCCTGACCCCACAGCCCTTTCCAGAGGCCGCCACACTGAGAGCCTGCCGTGTTCCCACCACCCTCACCAGTTCAGGGTCAGCCAAGAGCAGAACCAGCAGGAGACAGGCAGCCAGGTAGAGAGTGTTTGCCAGGAAGTGGCTTCTGCCACAGGGACTGACCAAGTAGCTCTGGAGTCCAGAGGCCAGGCAGGCTGGAGGCAGGGCTGGGTGTGGTTTCTTGCGGGAAGCCACCGCTCTGCTCCGAAGATCGTGCCCAGTGATTGAGTCAGGGCCACCCAGGGCATCAAGGAGAAGAACCCTCTCAGGATGGGCTTTTATCACACGCGCAGAACACTTCACAGCAGCACCTAGAGAGTCAGTGCACAACTGCAGACATGGCTGCTCCAAGGTGACACATCAGACATCACACCTTTGAACTAATGACTCTCCAGGGTCCCTTTAAAACTCTATTTTAGCTCATTTGAGAGCACAATTCTAATTTTTAAAAATTACATTCAAGAGACTGCTGTGCTTGTCCCATTTCCATAAATTAAGGAAAAATTGAATTAAATACCTTCTTACTAGGATTTGCAGTGAAGGCACGAAGCTTGAAGCCAGTTGACAATCTCTTAAGTAGATTAGCAGCCACTTCTCCTGGATTCTCTGTGTGCTCAGAAAAGTGTCACCCGGCCCTTCAGTAAATGCACGAGGTTTTAGTCTGTGCCTCTTGGGAAAGCAAACCACATCGTGTTCTTTCCTGATTAGGAAAGTTTCCACTTTTTCCCTTTCAGTCTAAAGCTGCGTTTGAAAGAGAGAGTGACGTTCCCCTGAAAAATGAGGAATTTGAAGTGACCAAAACAGCAGGTGTGTAAGGGTGGATTGTGGACATGGAACCCGATACTGGGGGAGGTGGGGGAGAGGTGACAACAGAGGGCCCTCGGGGGGCCAGGCGGGGAGGGACGACAGTTGCAGGGCACATCCGGACTGCAGGCCAGGCATCCGTAACTGTTCCTGTAAAGGGCCCCACAGCAAACATTTTCAGTTTTGTGGGACCGATGGCCTCTGTTGCAACTGCTCAACCTGCCCCCATCGGGCAAAGGGCAACCACGTGTCAGTGAATGGATGTGGCTACGTTTTAACAAAACTTTAATACTTTATGAGCTTGGAAATGTGAATGTCATGTCACTTCCCATGTCACAAAATACCATTTTCTTTAGATTTTTGTTAAAATGCCCTTAGCTCAAGAGTGGCGGGCCACACTGTGCCAATCCCTGGCTGATAGCTCATGGTCCATGGGAGAGCTGTGATCTCCATACGGCCTGGCTGTCCTGGGCTCTGTGACCAGGAACAGCTTCAAGATTGGGACCTCCAGCCCTGGCCGGTGTTCTCAGTGGTTAGAGTGTTGGCCTGCACACCAAAGGGTCACAGATTTGATTCCTAATCAAGGGCAAGTACCTGGGTTGCAGGTTGCATCCTCAGCCCTGGTTGGGCATATGCAGGAGGCAACCAATCGATGTTTCTCTGTCTTCGCCCCCCGCTCTCTCTCAGGTGAGGATTAACAAAAAACAAAAAAAAAGATTGGGACCTCCTGAAAGCCACCCACCCCATTCTCTGTCTTTGCCCCCCTCTCTCTCTCGAGTGAGGATTAACAAAAAACAACAAAAAAAGATTGGGACCTCCTGAAAGCCACCCACCCCAGTCCTCTGAGCCATGTTTAGCCACAAAGGGCAGATGCTGAACAGAAAGAAGTGGGGAGCTCTCAAGTTGGGGCTTGGCGTTCCAGAGCAAGGGTGGACAAATGAGTGGTTAGGATAATGGACATGGGAGCTAGCCGGGAAGGGGTGGGGGGGATGCCCTGAGGGTCCTGGGTTTCAGGGGAAAGATGAGGTGAAGGAACCCATGTGGCTATGGATGTCATTAGGCATGAAACCCTGGGAAGAAGATGGCATGGCAGTGCTTTAGGGAGGAGGAGCCTGAGTCTATGGAGCCCCGCTTGCAGGCCCTTGAGGACGTGGGGACCGTTCAGAGTAGAGGCCAAGGACAGAGGATGTTAGGTTTCGGGCAGACCCTGAGCCCTAGGGCACACAGAATTGCATAGGGAGTCAGGGTCTGGCTAGGTGTGGCAGATGCGTTTGCAGATTCCCTGGCCCTGCTGTAAAGCATCATATGGTCCTAGAACAAGTTTGCCAGTGTGAGCAGGAGGTGATACAGCCTGGCCCCACCCATTCATTTGCAGTGTGGCCCAATGACCATAATTCCCCACCTTGAACTTTCCTGTGGACTCCCACTGCCCTCAGGAAAGGCCCACCAACCTCTTCACGTTTTTTCTGTCTCTCACCCATAAGACTTTCCGGGCTGGGGTTCTTTCCGCATGCAGTTAGCTTTGGGGACTGCTCCCCTGCTCTGCCAGTCCCCACCGGGCCCTACCCTGGCCCAAGAGCATGTGGGCAGTCTCAAGGGCCTACCATGCATTTCTTATTTTGCAGTGTCCCACAGGCCCGGGGCGTTCAAGGCTGAGCTGTCCAAGCTGGTGATCGTGGCCAAGGCGTCACGCAGTGAGCTGTGACCAGCAGCCCCCTTGAGGGTGGCTTCCTCTCATCTCTACTGAAAGGGCGGTGCCCTGTGAGATCGGGCACATGTTTGGCTTTCTAGGGGGCACTGTTGGTTTTCTGCCTGGCTGATGTTGCCCTCCTCAGACAGGTTCCAGGGTGGCTGAGGCCCTGGGACAAAGTCCAGGGGGCCAGGAGGTTGAGCGGTGCTGTGCCCCCCTCCCAGTTCCCCATCTCCCCAGCACCACCGCCACACACCCCTGCCCCCGCTCTTCTGAACACAGAGTGTGGGTCTGAGCCCGCTGCTGCTTGTCGTACCAGGAGAGGCATTAGCACAGGTCGGGGGCCACAGCTTCCTAAAGCCAGCATGTCTCCCTTGGGATCAGGCCAGACTCCGGATGCTCCGGGGAAGAGTAGTCCTGCTGCCCTCTGACCTCAGGTTGACTGTTTTCTTACAACTTCCCCAAGAGACCACCTTCCAGACTAACTGGGAAGAAGTGAAATGTCCTTTTGTATTTAAATAAATAAGAGTTTAAAAGGAACTGCATGGACTGGATGTCTGGTGCTGGTGCCCGCCTGGCAGGGCGTGAGGGGCAAGGGCCCAGGGGTGACAAACAGAAGGAGGCTGGCTGCCCTCACTCCCCTTCTCTGTTGGAAACAGGTGGGCTGTGTCCCCCAAGACACGGAGTTTGAGGCACAGCGTTTCTCTAGGGACAAAAGCAGCGAGATCTGAGGGAGGCAGCTGTGAGCCTGCTCCTAGGACCGGGCGCTGCAACTCCCTGAACACGTCGGGCAGACCCACCACACCCAGCAGGTCACACAGGGCCCTGGTGGGGGGTGAGCACTCCAGGGCCGACCTGCTCTTTTGACCCAGGTGTTGGCTTTGCTTAGTTTTCTAAAACCAGGTTGTAGTAGGGTGACTTAAAAAAAATCACAGGCAAACAAAAATAAGTGAAACCCAAATCAGGTGCCCTGGTCTCCCAGCTGTGGGGGGCTGGGAGCCTGACCTGAGCCTAACTTCTGACTGTGTGTCTTCATGAGCAAACAAGAGGAAAAGAAACCGTGTGGCTGTGAACCGGTCCCTCCTAATTGGAATCACCATGTTGGATCAACGGAGGCCTCTCTCTACCTTTCACTCCCCTGTGCCGACCTGAGGGCCTGGACACTGCTAAGCCCCACTTGCCAGAGCAGCAGTGGGCTGGGAGCATTTGGGGTCCTGTCCGAAGTCTCACCTGGAGGAAGCAGAGCAAGGCTCTCCTCTGTCCACACCCCCGGCGGGCCCTGCAGTCGGACAGTGTCAGATCGGGGTCATGAGCGTGAAGAATAACTTCTCAGAACAGCCATCGAAGAGGTGTGCCACAGAATTCTAGTAGTTTATGTGCCATGAGATGAAAAAGGTTAAAAATCACTGCACTAGGGGGAATCAACAACAGATTAGATGAAGCAGAGGATCAAGTCAGCGATTTGGAAGACAAGATAGTGGAAAATACCCAATTAGGACAGCAAAAAGAGGAAAAAATTTTAAATGAAGGTAGTTTGCCCTAGCTGGTTTGGCTCAGTGGATAGAGCGTCAGGCTGCTGACTGAAGGGTCCCAGGTTCTATTCCAGTCAAGGGCATGTACCTGGGTTGCAGGCTTGATCCCTGGCCCTGGCCAGGGCATGTGAGGGAGGCAACCAATTGATGTGTGTCTCTCTCTCTCACTCACTCTCTCTCGCATCGATGTTTTTGTCTCTCCCTCTCCCTTCCACTCTCTCTAGAAATCAATGGAAAAATATCCTCCGGTGAGGATTTAAAAAGGAAAAGAAAACCTATTTGAAGAAGTAATGATGGAAAACTTCCCTACCCTGGCAAAGGAAGCAGACATACAATGCCAGGAAGTGCTGAGTCTCAAAGAGGCCACACCAAGACTAAAATGCCAAAGGTTGAAGACAATCTTAAAGGCAGGTAGTTACCTACAAGGGAGCTCCCACAAAACTCAGCTGAGCCCAACTGGTGTGGCTCAGTGGTTGAGTGTCGACCTACGAACCAGCAAGTCTTGGTTCAATTCCAGTCAGGGTGCATGTCCAGGTTTCAGGTTCCATCCCCAATAGGGGACGTGCAGGAGGCAGCCGATCGATAATTCTCTCTCATCGTTGATGTTTCTCTCTCCCTCTCCCTTCCTCCCTGAAATCAATAAAAAACATACTTTTTTTTAAAACTACATGAGATCTCATCTCACACCTGTCAGAATGGCTATCATCAATAAATCAGCAAACAACAAGTGTTGGCCAGGATGTGGAGAAAAGGAAACCCTCATGCACTGTTGATGGAATTGAAAATTGGTGCAACCACTATGGAAAACAGTATGGAGTTTCCGCAAAAGATTAAAAAGAGAGCAGTCATACCATCTAGCAATTGCACTTCTGGGTATTTATCCAAAGAAAACAAAAACACTAATTCAAAAAGATAATATGCTGCCCGGCCAGCGTGGCTCACTGGTTGAGCATTGACCTGTGAACCAGGAGGTCACAGTTGATTCCCAGTCAGGGCACGTACCTGGGTTGCTGGCTCAATCCCCAGTGTGAGGCGTGCAGGAGGCAGCCAACCAATGATTCTGTTTCATCACTGATGTTTCTCTCTCTCTCCTCCCTTCCTCTCTGAAATAAAAAAAATAAATAATAATATACTTCTCTATGTTCACTGAAGCATTATTTACAGTTGCCAAGATATGGAAGCAGCCTAAGAGCCGATCAATAGACAAATGGATAAAGGTGTGATGGATATACACAATGGAAAAAGGATGAAATCTTACTATTTACAACAACATGGATGGACCTAGAGGGAATTATGCTAAGTCAGACAAATACCATATGATTTCACTTACATGTGGAATATAAAAAACAAAATGACCTGGTTGCTGTGGCTTGGTTGAGCATCGTTCCTTGCACTGAAAGGTTTCCTGTTCGATTCCCAGTCAGGGCATATATCCAGGTTGAGGGAGGCAACCAATCGATGTTTCTGTCTCATCCATGTTTCTCTCTTTCCCTCTCCCTTTCTCTCTCTAAGTAAATACATACATACATACATACATAAAGATAAAAAACAAAATGAACAAACTCAGATACAGAGAACAAACTGAAGGCTGCCAGATGGGAGGAGATGGGAGGCCAGGTATAAAAGGTGAAGGGATTAAGAAATACAAATTGGCCCTAGCTGGTTTGGCTCAGCGGATAGAGCGTCGGCCTGCGGACTCAAGGGTCCCAGGTTCGATTCCGGTCAAGGGCATGTACCTGGGTTG